TAATGTCAGCAATTCATTAGAAGACAGGGAAGCTTTCCAGCCAAAGCAGTAAAAAAACTGTCCAAACGAAACCTAAGCATGTGTTTGCTTGACTTGACGTTAAGTTTTATTGTTTATGCGACGCCACATTTGACCATTTCCAGCTGGAGTTCCTTGGCGCTATTGACGTCTCCGATAAGCCGTCAGAAACGGTGGAGATGAAGGATGTAAGGATTTCCCTTATCTTAGCCAGGATATAGTCGTGAGCCAGTAGACTATCTAATCTGCATCTTTTTCAATCTCCTTTTTTTTTCTTACTGTTAAGTTGTTCTGCTCTACATCGATAGTCGTTGCCATGGCGGAAATGTTTCTTGATCCAATTATGGAGATCATCAGCGCTGGCTTCCGTTACCTGAAAGATCAAGTCAGATGACATACAGGCATGAAGGAGGACCTGGTAAAGCTGCAAGAGAATCTCCCCAATATCCAAGCTGTTGTCCACTTTGCTTACAGCCAAAGAGCAGATCACAGACCAAAATCTGCATCTTAACAAATGGCTATGGAAGCTACGCGATGCCATTGATGATGCATATGACGTGGTTGATGAAATCCATGAAGACATGGAACTTTAAAAACAGGTGACCAAAAACAAGAAGCTGAGAAAGGGTGCATCATGAAATCCATGAGGAAAAGACTTTGTCAAAATTGGCAAACGTGCTCTCAAAATTGATCCCACCATGAAGCGACTGGAGGAGGCTGTGCATTATCAAGTTTCAACAACTGGTGTTGATACTTTCCTTCATCTTGTAAAACACGCAAAGAAGGAGCTTCACAAGCAGCAGCTTGTGCTGCACGGAGCACGGGAAATGGGATCCTTGCCTGAAAATGATATCTTTTGGCAGGGCAAGGATAAGGAGCTTGTTATGGAGTGGCTGAGGAATCCATCAGATGAGCATCGGGGAACTCATTTGTACAAAAACATTTCTCTTCTATCTATAGTGGGCCATGGTGGTATGGGGAAGACAACTCTCTTGCAACATGTTTATGAAGATTAAATGACAAAGGAATTTAATAGTAAAATGTGGGTTTGGGTTTCCAAGAACTTTGATGTGAAAAAAGTCATTGCAGATATGTTGGAATGTCTTAAGAAGGAGAGGCCTTGTTTTGAGACACTTGGGGCACTTCGTAACAACTCGAACGGATTCAGTTGCACTCATGTTTGCTAATGCAATTAAAAAGGAGGAAATAGTTAAATTAGAGGGCCTAGAGGAAGATGAGTGTTTGCAGCTCCTCAACTCTCATGCATTTGCTGGTGTAAATAATTAAGAACCATTGCTGGAGAGAGAGTTAAAAAGCTTTTAGGATCTCCATTGGCAGCTAAAGCCATTGGTGGTGTTCTGAAGGACAACTTGGATGAAAGGCATTGGAGGACAGTTCTAGAAAGCAATTTATTGAATCAAAATTCTATCTATTCCATCTTAAGACTGAGCTATATAGTTCTGCCAAATCATCTACAAAATTGTTTTACATTTTGCTGTATGTTCCCACAAGATCATGAGTTTGATAAAGATCATTTAGTCTTAATGTGGATTGCATTGGGTTTCATTCAGCCATCTCAAAGAATGATTTTGGAGGATATCGGAAGAAGGTATTTTGATGTTTTAGTCAAAAAAAGCTTTTTGATGAAGCATCATCTCTCAAAATTTTTGAGATTATTCGACATTTGTTCTAACTAAAAATCCAGACATCTTAAAAAAGATTGAGAAGTTTAAACATTTGCATTTTCTTTTCTTGTTCTATGGAAATTTCAATCAGGATCTTTGCAGTGCACATTGAAATATTTAAAGCATCGAGATGCTTGTTATTATACATATTTACTGATGAATTGGAAATGATACCTGAGGAGATTAAATATTTGAAACATCATCGATATCTGAAGATTGAAAGAGTTGAAGTCACTAGGCTACCAAGATCTCTAAGTAATCTCTATTACTTGTAATACATAATCTATGATAATTGGATGCCAACACGGCTTAAAGTTGATGATTTTTTTTCTAAGTGACATTAATAACCTTTCTAATTTGTGTTACCTTGACTTGTCTGAGAATTATATTTTATCAATATATGGGATTGGGAAGCTAAACGCCCTTCTAGAATTGTATTGATTTGATCTTAGAAATAAGATGGGCTATAGAATTGATGAGTTGAAGTATTTGAATGATCTTTACAAATTAGGAACCAATCGCCTTGAAAATGTAAAGAACGCCAAGGAGGCTTCCTATGCTTTGTTCTGAAAGTTAGGTCTTCTCTTTGTGAGCTGGAATTTGGGCAGCTCAAATCTTTAGAGTCTCTACCTTCCTCCTTGGAAATCTTTTCTTCACTTCAGAAATTATCTATTACAAATTGCCCCAATCTGATCTCTCTCGGAAGATATCGAGAAGTGGGGCCACTAATAATTGCCATCTCATGCATGCTCAGCGATCTTAGCATAAGTGATCCATTGGTGTTGCTAATGGAGCCCTTGAGAAGTATCGCCTCCTTAAAAAAAGCTGAGTATTTGGTCAAATGATAATCTGGTTTCATTTTCAAATGAGGAGCTGTGGTTTCTAAAAGTTAGATCTTCTCTTTCTGAGCTGCAATTTTTCTTTCTCAAATCCTTACGGTCTCTCCCTTCCTCCTCGGAAAGCATATCTTCAGTTCAGATACTATCTATTCACAACGTTCCTATGCTCAGGGAATTATCAAACCTTCCTCCCTCTTTGAATGATCTAATAATTAGGGAATGTCATCCAGAGTTATTTGAGTGCTATGGAGAGGTTGGAGGCTCGGATCGGCAGAGGATTGCTCACATTCCTGATATCTATATTAAGCGCTCATATTAGGTCCAATTGCTTTAAGGAAAATTTCAAAATACAAAAGCAAACTTCTTTCTTCTTATCTTATTTGTTTGATATGAAATATGAAGGATGCAATCTCAGCATTAACAAGTTTGTATCACTTGATTGATGCACTCAATTTTGTTTATGTATGACTTGGTGGTCCCTTTATATATAAATATATTCTTCTTTAATATTTCGTTATATATGTCGTCAAATTTCAGATAGTGATCATTTCTTTGGTTCCTTTATACATAAATATATTCTTCTTTGAAATCTAAATAGTTGTATCAAAATTTAATTCTTTTCTTATTGATTTGTCGAAATGAAGCAATCATTGAACAATGATAATTGCCTTCTCTACTTCTCTTCTTGGGAAGTTAGACAAGTCACTGTTAATGGTAGTTGGTGTCTCCCCACGGCTTTTCCCCACACTATCATCAATGAAATTATAACAATCCCTATTGCTGACCAGGGGTTTTGATGGCTTTTCTGAAGACATAAAATGGATGTTTTTCCTGAGTCTTGGCGGGGTTCTCATCCTCCTTTTCTGCTTGTGCTATTTTGGAATTGTTTTGAGTAGCAATTTTTGATTTTTGGCTCCCTCTTTTAGATTGGGGCTCACAGTTTTGTATTTTTGGAGGTTTCTTTTTTGTTTTGGCTCTTTTGAGCTGCACCTATCTTGTGCAGGAGCCTCTGTTCTTTCATATATATTATCATTACATGTATTTCTTTTGACCCCCCCCCCCCCCCCCCCCCAAAAAAAAAAAAAAAAAAAAAAAAAAAAAAAAAAAAAAAAAAAGCCAAGAATATTAAGTGCAGACAGCTGTGTCTTTCTGCATGTGATTTCCTTTGGACTTTAATATCAGCAATTCTTTGGAAGATAGGGAAGCTTGCAAGCAAAAGCAGTAAAAAAACTGTCCAAATGAAACCTAAGCGTGCATTTGCTTGACTTGATGTTAAGTTTTATCGTTTATGCGACGCCACATTTGACCATTTCCAGCTGGAATTCCATGGTGCTATTGATGTCTCCGATAAGCCGTCGTATTTCAAAGAAATGGTTGAGATAAAGGATGTAATGATTTCCCTTATCTTAACTAGGATATAGTCGTGAGCCAGTAGACTATCTAATCTGCATCTCTTCCAATCTCCTTTTTTTCTTACTGTTTATTTGTTCTGCTCTACATCGATCCTCGTTGCCATGGAGGAAATGTTTCTTGATCCAATTATGGAGAAGATCATCAGCGCTGGCTTCCGTAACAACTCGAACTGAACGGATTCAGTTGCACTCATGTTTGCTAATGCAATTAAAATGGAGGAAATAGTTAAATTAGAGGGCCTAGAGGAAGATGAGTGTTTGCAGCTCCTCAACTATCATGCATTTGCTGGTGTAGAGAACCCCCCTAATGATCATAAAAAATTAAGAACCATCGCTGGAGAGAGAGTTAAAAAGCTTTTGGATCTGCATTGGCAGCTAAAGTCATTGGTGGTGTTCTGAAGGACAACTTGGATGAAAGGCAGTGGAGGACAGTTCTAGAAAGCAATTTATTGAATCAGAATTCTATCAATTCCATCTTGAGACTGAGCTATATAGTTCTGCCAAATCATCTACAAAATTGTTTTGCATTTTGCTGTATGTTCCCACAAGATAATGAGTTTGATAAAGATCTTTTAGTCTGAATGTGGATTGCATTGGGTTTCATTCAGCCATCTCAAATAATGATTTTGGAGGATATCGGAAGAAGGTATTTTGATGTTTTAGTCAAAAAAGCTTTATTTGACAAG